TGGGCATTCAAACTCTATATGCCTAAAAATGCAAAAGTAGGGGTTGGTGTGATCAATAGATCCAGAAATAGTGGCAGCTGAAAGCATTTGTAATTTGTTTTTAATCTTTGTCCCACCCCTTCCCACATTTTTAAGTCTCCCTATTGTCAAAAAAATGCAGCCCTTTACAAAAAAAAAGAAGATTTACACATAATATCATGTGCCATACTAGTTTTGAGGAATGGTAAAAATTAAAGTGTCACTAAACGCTGGTGTAAAAAAAAAAAAAATAAATAAATAAATCAATGAATATAATATAACAAATGCGTACCATCAAAATGCAAAAAAAATCCCCCCCCCCCAAAAAAAAAAAAAAAAAAACACAGAAGAATTTTAGAAACATAATTAAACACCATAAACAATAATAAATAGTAACATCAATGAGTTCCTTGTGGGGTGCCATACTAAAAGATTCAAGAGGTTCCCATCAGAGAGACTTAAGAGACTTTAAAGAGCTTAGAGAACTTCTATGGCAAACCCTATGTTTTCCATAGACGTTTCCTAAGCTCTTTGAAGTCTCTTACAGCGGAGTTCCACCTGAAAAAAAAAAAATAAAAATAAAAGTCAGCAGCTACAAAAACTGTAGCAGCTGACTTTTAAAATACAGCTACTCACATGTCCCTCGGTCCAGTGGTGTCCTCACCACCGCTGGTTTCACCGGCTGTCTTCTCTCTCTGGTGCCAGCATGTTCAGTGTGGGCACCCGGCTGTGACAGCTTGAGGCTTCACAGCAGGGTGCCCAATGTGCATGCAAGAGAAGCGCTGCGCTTTGTGAATGACCAGTCACGTGCCCCAGAAGACTACGGGGAGGGAGGGGGGAGGACAACTTCTGTTTCCCATAGCCTAAGCGATTGCAGTGGAAGTGGGAGCAGGCACCTGTCAAATTCGAGTACCCGCTCCCCAAAGATGCCAATCCTTAATAGGGAGCAGAGGACAAAGGCTTAAAGCGGAACTTGTCCTTTTGGATGGAGCTCCGCTTTAAGTCTCTCTGGTGGGAACCTCTTGAAAAATTATTTTATGGGTTTTTTTTTGGGTATTGTCTGGCATTTTGTTGGTATGTCTTAGATTGTACTCATTGATATATATTTTATTTGATAGTGACATCATGTGCAGAGCTCATACGACTCCTGAAGATTCTAAATTATGGTGAAACATGTTGAGCAGAAGCAGCTGCAATAATGCATAAAGTCGCATTGATTTCAATCGCATTCAAATTATGTTTTTAACAATACCAAATTTGTTGTGTGTTTTTATCCTGTTACACAATAAAATTTTTATTTTTTACTTTACTTGTCGGCAGGGGCGGACTGACCAATCGGGAACTCGGGCACTGCCCGAGGGCCCGAGGTCAGTAGGGGGCCCCATGAGATGCCCCTGGTATCTTTCATAGGCTTTTTTGGGTGTGGTTTGAGTGTGGGCAAGGACACAGGGGCCCCCATGATCCCCTATTGTCCGGGGGCCCCATGAGTTGTCAGTCCGCCCTGCTTGTTGGCATTATGTAAATACTCTATAAAGTGCTGCGCAACATAAAAAATGCAATTTATCCCATATGTGCAATCTTCATAATAAAGTGCCTGTGCAATTATTTATAGAGTATTTACTGTTTACATATGTGGGAACACATATAGTGTCGGCAGCAAGAACATGTTAGAGCTGGGAGTTTGTTAATTGCACTGAAGTCATTGTGAAAACTATATTGTTGTTGGTATTATGTGTTGGCACTGTTAAAAATCCCTAATACATGCTATTTTCTGTGAATAATTTTTTAGGATTGGGTGCCTATGGTTCCTGGTCACCTGACCATTCAATTTATATTCATTTATAGTTCATCAGACTAAGTAATAGAAGCAAAGTACCGTGTGAAGTGTCAACGTCTATCAGTATGTGACAGATTTTCAACCGGAAAAAGCAGACTTTTTCTAAGATCAGGTCCATATATAGAAGTGGAGAATCTCTAAGGCTCCAATCACACCTATGCAAGTGTGATCCTGTTCATTTTAATGGTCTGCCCTATGCACAAAAATTGTACCAAAGTAGTGTAAACACCTTTTTTATTGCGCTGCACAAACATTGCTTGTAAATTTGTTACCATGCATTTTGGCACATGATTTAGCACTCGCATTAGCAAAGTGCACCTGGGTGCCATTAAAAATTAACAACACCACTGCAAGGAATGCACTTTTCTCTTCATATTTCCTGGCATCTCACAAAAGTAAAACTAGCCAAAAGGTTTTCATGGGGCACCCAATGTAAAGCATTTTCAAGTTATACAAAAGTAGTCACATTCCATAATGTATCAACAATCCCTTCATCTCCTGTGACACAGACGGTCAAGATTACACTGAGAAGTTGCAATATATGACATTTAGGTATAGGTGACACACAAAGGTTGGTTTACAAGAACTGAACATCCACAATTGAATTCTCTGGGGGGGGCCTGTATTTCAGTATGTTGCTGCTAGCAATCAAAGGAATACCTAGGTGTGTTTTTGTACTCGGGTAACCCATGAAAATCAGATTTTGTATTTTGACCTCACCCCTATATAAAGCCTAACACTATTCTAGCTCAAACACATAATTCTATTTTTCTGTCTTCTCACCTAATCCTGTGGAAGTGCCTCAATTCCAATATAAAGCAGTCCCAATGTCAGAATAGTGTGATCCAAGAATATCTTCCTTAGAGTGCCTTTGATTTAGTTTCATAGTTGTCAGAAGCCTGACTTCTTTGATGTATTCGTGAACCTGTAACCAACTACCATCATTTTCAAACACTTAAGGTCAATCAAGGTGGAACTGAACTAGGGAAGCTGTGCCCACAATAAGGCAGGCAAAGGGAATTGGATTAGTCTCCAGCATTGTCTCTGTTCTTCCTGCAGCTGATTGTGCACCATTAGTAACTTATTCTTTTTTGTGAACGGTGTCTGTGTGGAGGCAGCAATATTGGCAGAGGTGCAGCTTTTGCTTCCTCATGTCAGAGCCTCCAGCAAGAACAGCAGCAAGCAGTACAGTAGTGACATCATCAAATTTCACTATAAATCTCCTGAGATTGGCAGTCAGAGGCAACAGTGTCTAAGGTCTCACACTGTAGCTATATGGCTATCAGGCTGTAGGCACATGAGTGCCTAGGCACCCCCTAAACCAGTACACTGTTATTTTCAGGAAGAATTACAGACAAAAGGTGTATAGTTCAGGGCACAACTGACATTTCTAGTTTTCTTATAACATAGGAAATCTTCACTGTTTGAGTTCAGTTCTGCCTTAGGGATGCGGGTTAGCTCAGAAGTCAGGAAAATTATATCCCAAGTAACAAAGTGAAACTAAATCAGACCAGTGCGGATCAAAGGTAATAGCAGACACCTTGTGGTACATGACCTTTTTAACATTTTTAAATAGCTGACAGATTTCCCAGTGGCGGGGTTTTGCCCTTTGATAACCTTGATCATTCTTAACAAAAGACACCCACATCAGACAGTTTAAATTTTTTTTAAATAATATTATTTCAATATAAATGGAACTTACATATATTGTTCTTCATCCACATCTCTTATCCTTATACCTTTGGCTTTTGTCACACAGAGGTAATGGTATGTTCTCCAGCACATTTTGACATTACAGCCAACAGTAGCTCCCATTTTGTTACAGTAAGAACACTTCTGCAAATGGAACACACATATATATATATATATATATATATATATATATTGTTACTCAGAAATATGCAAAACACACCAAATTAATATTAGGACATAAATTTAAAGAAGTATCACTTCAATTTTCTTTTCATATTTTATATTAGAAGAGGTAGACTGAGTATCCGAAAATGATCAAAGGAACAGTTCTGACACATTCACTTGCACATCAGGAAAAAAGTGCTTCAGATGCTGCTAACCAATGGGTAACAGTTTAAAAAAACTGTTTGCTCCAGTGGAGAAAGTCAAAATCTGAAAGGTGGTGGGTATGGGATCCCAAAGTTAATTAATTTTTGGGGGGCACAATAGAATGGTTCAGACATCTCCTGGTAATTAACATTAGTATGGGTATAATCATCTATGATAAAGTGTATTTAAAGCAGAACTTCACCCAAAAGTGGAAGCTCCGCTTTTCCGTCTTCTGCCCTCCCCCCCACCTACACCACTTAAGGTCAGTTTTTCTTTGGGAGGCAGGGAGGGGGTACCTGGTTTTGACAGAAACCTGCTCCTACTTCCGCTCGGACCGCTGCAGCGGATCCATCTGCAGTTCTCCTCCCCCCTCTCGGAACATGTCACAGGTCGCCAGCACTCACAGCCAGCTGCCCACAGTTAACATGCCAGCTCCGGGAACCCGAAGACCAGTAATGAAGCGGCTCTGGTGAGGATGGCACTGGATCTTTGGACAGGTAACTGTCCTTTTATTAAAAGTCAGCAGCTACAGTATTTGTTTTAATTTTCTTGTTTCTAGGGTAAAGAACAGCTTTAACCCCCCCCCCCCCCCAAAAAAAAAAAATATGATATATTGCGTCTAGATGCAGTGGCTGAATTTTTCAGGATTTGTTGTTTTGTTTATTTTCCTGCGGGTATCCTGCCAATAACATACTTCCTGTACTACAACGCTCATCCACTGCACTGTATCCACGGATAAGCAGCATGGCCACCCTAGGCTATATTCCTGATTTGGACCTCAGACATCTTTTTGTCCTAGCTGGGAGGTGTTCACATAAGATAGCTTGGAAGTCAGATAACATTTGTTTGTGGTTTCAGTTTATTGAACAGGATTAGAGATGAGCGAAGTATTCAAAAATTCGATTCGACTGATTCGGCGAATTCGTGGAAAATATTCGATTCGAGTCGAATATATTCGCTGTGAATTTAACTTAAAAAAGGGGTGTTTCTAGGCTTCAGAGAGACTTAATATTAGTTCAGAACACTGTACCTTTAATTTAAATGCCCTTGGAGTCTGCTGGGGAAGAGAAATAATACTGTCAGTCAGTATGACATGCAGATGAGTGCCGTCGATCTTAGAATCACCGCACACTTCACTCATTTGGCCAGTCACGGGGCCAAAACCAGTGTTTGGAGCCACAGTGTGGCGGTGGAGGCAGCAGCAATGGGAGGCCATACAGCAACCTATGGCAAAATGGAAACCAGCAGGAGTGTGAGGAGACCTGAAAGTGGCACATGGCAGAGTGGGAGCAATGGGAGGCGGTACAGGGACCCATGTCACACTGTGGACCCAGCAGCAGCGTGACGAGGCGGTACGGGGGCCCATGGCAGATTTGGGGCCTGGCAGCACCTATGGGAGGCCTGTAATCTGCCAGCAACCTATGACAAAATGGAAACCAGCAGGAGTGTGAGGAGACCTGAAAGTGGCACATGGCAGAGTGGGAGCAATGGGAGGCGGTACAGGGACCCATGTCACACTGTGGACCCAGCAGCAGCGTGACCAGGCGGTACGGGGGCCCATGGCAGATTACAGGCCTGGCAGCAGCAATGGGAGGCCCGTAATCTGCCAGCACCCTATGACAAAAAATGGAACACACCAGCAGTGTGTGAGGAGACCTGAAAGTGGCACATGGCAGAGTGTGGCGATGGAGACAGCAGCAATGGGAGGCCGTACAGGGACCCATGAGAGACTGTGGACCTGGCAGCAGCATGAGGAGGCGGTATAGGGGCCCATGGCAGATTAGGGGCCTGGCAGCAGCTATGGGAGGCCCGTAATCTGCCAGCACCCTATGTCAAAAAATTCAACACACCAGCAGTGTGAGGAGACCTGAAAGTGGCACATGGCAGAGTGTGGCGATGGAGACAGCAGCAATGGGAGGCCGTACAGGGACCCATGAAAGACTCTGGACTTGCCAGCAGCATGAGGAGGCGGTATAGGGGCCCATGGCAGATTAGGGGCCTGGCAGCAGCTATGGGAGGCCCGTAATCTGCCAGCACCCTATGTCAAAAAATTGAACACACCAGCAGTGTGAGGAGACCTGAAAGTGGCACATGGCAGAGTGTGGCGATGGAGACAGCAGCAATGGGAGGCCGTACAGGGACCCATGAGAGACTCTGGACTTGGCAGCAGCATGAGGAGGCGGTTATATAATAGGGGCCCATGGCAGATTAGGGGCCTGGCAGCAGCTATGGGAGGCCCGTAATCTGCCAGCACCCTATGACAAAAAAATGGAACACACCAGCAGTGTGAGGAGACCTGAAAGTGGCACATGTTTGGGGCATGATTCATGGCGGATTTAGTCAGTTGTGTCAGGAACTAGTGGTTTGAAATCCAGACTAATCCACGCCTGATTCATTTTCACAACCGTGAGTCTCTCCACACTTTGGGTGGACAGTCGTGTCCTCCGCGGAGTTGCAATACCTCCTGCCGCACTAAACACGCGCTCCGATGCCACGCTACTGGCCGGGCATGACAGCCTTTCAAGGGCAAATTCAGCTAGTTGGGGCCAAAGGTCAAGTTTCGTTGCCCAGTAGTCAAGGGGGATTGTCTACCTCGGTTGGCAGGGTGCTGTCCAAGTAGGCCCAAGCCTGTTGTTTGAGGTCCTGCTCCAGGTCCACCTGATGCTGCTGCTGCTGCTGCTGCTGCGGCTGGTTAGTAGTTTCCTCACTGCGCTGGTGAAGAAAGCTACTCATCATCGACTGCAGACTGAGGCAGCCGCTGCTGGTGGAGCTGCCACTGCTCCTACCACCCCACCCCTCCCCTGCTGCCATGGCAGCGGAACGCGAGCGCACAGGGCCCACAGTGTCTGAGGATGGACGTTGGCGCACAAAGGCAGAGACCAACTGACTACATAGGTGGTTTTTATAGTACGTTATTTTGGCCTCCCTCTCAGCAGGTGTGAAAAAGGCCACCACTTTGGAACGGTAGCGAGGGTCCAACAAGGTGGACAGCCAAAAGTCATCCCTCTGTCTGATGGTTATTATTCGGCTGTCGCTACGCAAGCAACCGAGCATGCTATGGGCCATTTGTGCCAAGGAATGCGAGGGACTCCCTGCCTCCATCTCCACAGCATACTGCCACGGTGCGTCTGGGTCCTCTGTCTCCTCCTCCTCCTCCTCTACCAGATGCTCCTGCTCCTCCACTCCTGTCCGCTGAGTGGAAAAAACCACCCATTTCACTCAATAATTCCTGAGCACCAAATGTCCTCCTCTACCTCCTCCTCTTCTTCCTGTCCTGCCCCCACAGGGGTCATGTGGCGTTGAGATCTGTGCGCCACGTCTACCGCACCCTGACCAGCCATTGTTAACAGCATTTGTTCCAGGACGTGCAACAGAGGAATGACGTCGTTCATCCCATAGTCCTGCCGACTCACGAATAGCGTGGCCTCCTCAAAGGGCCTGAGCAAGCGGCAGGTGTCACGCATGAGCTGCCAATGGCTGACATCGAAGTTTACACAGGGGAGTACCTTTATCCGCTTGTAACATCAGGAAATCGGTGATGGCCTTTCGCTGTTCGTAAAGGCGGTCTAACATGTGTAGGGTTGAATTCCACCTTGTTGCAACGTCGCAGATCAGGCGATGCTGTGCAATTCCGTTCTGCCGCTGCAGCTCAAGGAGGGTGTGCTTTGCGGCGTAGGAATGGCTGAAATGCATGCAAAGTTTACGTGACATTTTAAGGATGTCTTGCAGTGGGATGGTGGATTTTAGAACTGCTTGACAACCAGATTGAACACGTGAGCCATGCATGGCGCATGGCACAACCTTACTTGACGCAGAGCAGACACCATGTTCTTTCCGTTGTCGGTCAACATGGTTCCGATTTTCATCCAGTTTTGCGCGGAGACAGCCATCTGTCGATTTCTCTGTTCATTACACTGAGAAGTTCCTCCCCTGTGTGACTACGTTCGCC